ATATATATATATATATAGTGGCTCTAAAGCTCCTTTATAATTGACACTTGGCATTTACCAGCTTCTATAAAAAACACAACTTTCCATTTATTTTTCCGGCACTTTCAGGGCTCCGTACTTAATTCCAGTTTTGTTCTGGTTTCCTCCAAACTGGTTGGGTTGTGAATGGTTCAGCCCTTCAGACTGTGTGGATGAGACACCCCTCCGTCCTTGTTTCCAGCATGGTACGGTCCTCGCTGCAAGAAGTGCCTCCAGTTATCCGTCTCACAGGCTGATATTCAGTATTTGTGCTCACGCCGGGTTGAGGTGTGGACTCTGTGCTTCTTCAGTGTTTGAGAAAGAGCGCAAAGCTGGACCGCTCCATCATGACCATGTACAAGGGGAAGCGTCGCAACCATCGCTGTAAGTTTGCACGACTCTGTGATGCACTGAGGACATTTTCTGTGTGCAGCTGCTGCTCGGACTTGAACCAGCTCAACTTGTCATCAAATACGACTTTATTTAACCAGTCCAGGGAGCATCAAGATGTGAATCAGATCTGCATTGTGTTGCAAACTAACACAGATTTGCAGAAAGCTGCATCAATATTTTATTTACTGTATTAACTGCATTCCCCCCCCCCCCCCTGCAATCAGCGTTTATCTACTTATCAAAACCATCATTAATAAATGATGGCATAAACATGCCAACTGCTTTTTTTATGTGTATCAGGGGGGTTCCTTGTTCATTAGGTGAAGCAAGGGAAAATTTGGTTAGAAAAATTGATACTAGCCTACATAATTTGTAATTTTAAGATTATGATTTATACCATTACCTCTTTATTTGCTACTTCTCCAAACTGTATATATTTTATGGCTCTGATGTGTTTCTTTAAAAAGAGGGAACTATTATTTTAAAAACGCCTTTTGTGTTAATTCAATTCAGTTTATTTATATAGCATCAAGTTACAACATTATCTCAGGGCACTGAATAGAAAAAACATAAGACTAAATATTAAATTAGACACTATACATGAGATTAATACTCATTTGTAAGAAAATAGAGGAAAAGTGTGTTAAAAAAATTTGCTGTCTGATTGTTGATTTTTGTTCCAAATCAATACTCTTTAGTTTGTTTCCTCTATTGAAGCGATTATAATGGAATACATTATATCTAGCAGTGCATCTACAAAAAAATTAAAAATATGTCTCGTTATATTTCTGGGTTTGAAGCTCGTGCAAATCTGGACACAGAGTCAAAAGAGAGCAGGCAAATAAATCCAAGTGTTTCCAAGCAGAAGAGCAAAGCAGGCGGGACAAAAAGCAGTGAGTCTGTGTGTGGGCTTAAATTGGTGACTAGTTTGTTTAAGGGGTCATTCTTTACTTCCTGTGGCAGCCATTAGACCAAAGAGACTTCAAGAGATTAACTGCTGTGGAGCAAAGAAGGAACTGTTTATCTTCTGTGTGCTGCTGTAGGTGTTGCGTTTGATCATTTGTAAATCACTGTTAAAAAAAAAAGGTGATAAGAGCGCTACAGGTAATAGGACTCCAATATTAGAAGATGCAGCTCTGTCCTTCAGATGCTTGTTAAAAAGAACAGGGAAGAGTTCAAAACCTGCAGATTCAAGAACTCATGTGGTTGAAGGGCGAGCAATGTCAAGCTGGGTGAGATGATGAAAAAAATCCAGACACTGCTGGAAGTGATGAATGAAAATGTGCTCTTAGAAATCTTGTCAGAGACATTCTGTACGTGAAGGATACTGCAGATCTGTGAAGGACTTCTGAAAAGTCAACTTGCCACTGTACTTGATTTGAGCTGTGCTTTTAAATAGTTGAGCGAGGTGAACATTTTGTGGCAACTGTGGTAGTCAAATGTATGAAGTCCCATTTAAATATGTGATTTTGCACCTTTTTAATCTAAAAGAATAAACTGTTGTGCATTTATGGTGTTGCCTTTTTGTGATTAATTTAATTAAAAGAAGAAAACCACTCTGCCTTAAGGAGGAGTGGGTGAGCTTAAGTATTTAATGCGGCTTAGGAGTCACTGGAAATATATTATGAACCACTTCTAAACCAAAGGTTTGTTTTCTATCTGTGTTAAAATATGTTTGTTAATATTCTGTATTCAGACACTCAAGAATATGCAACGGTGAAGGTTTTTCCCTTGCAAAATTTTCAAAAATGCACCAGCTATGCCTCTATTTTATTGTATTTTTTTGTCTTTCTTTGAAAAGGTAAATTCACCCCACTGCAATCTGTGCTGAAAATGTGTCTTCATCTGTCTGTCAGATGGGACATAATGTGACTGCCCTGTCAATGACAAAATAATGTGGCATAGTGTGACTGTCAATAATAATATCGTGACAGATGATGCTCCCAAAAAGTCTTCATCTCTCCTCTCAGCTGCATCATCAAAGCTGGTTGGACTGGTGCCACGTGAAACACTAATGAGTAAGACAAAAAAAGACGAGCATTGAGCAAGCCAAACACTGATCAGTAGAAATATGACACGCAGAAGCTGAGTTTTTACAATGTGACCTTGTTAAAAGTCTGATATAGTCGGCAGATGACTGTCGCTTGTATGAACCAGCATGAAGAGTCTCAGTTGGTATACATTAAAATAATTGTAGAATTGGTGACATTTAAATATGTATTTCTTTCGTTGGCACTATTTTACATACACTACAGTGCTTCTGAATGAGAAGTATAATTTGAAAAGCGGGTAAAAACATCCCTCGGATTTATGCAAATTCAACAATTTTCCGCGTTTCCTGGTTAAAAAATGAAATATGAACGTGCAGGTGGGAATTTAGAAACTGTGGAAAGGTTTCCGTTCTTGGTTTAATAGTTAGAAACAAAAAATGTCTCCTCAACAGTGAGAAAAAAAAAAGACTTGGTTGAACTACCTGCTGGGTGCTTGTTTTCGTGGCTCGCTCCCCATCACTAAGCACCCTCACCGTGCTACGTTCATCTGTCCTGCTTTTAGAAGTGCATCATTGTTCACTTACATAAGCCAGCTCACTGGGTTTACAAGTCACACAGAGGGATGCAATCTCCAACTGAAGCCATGGGTTTATCTTTTCTGCCAGACCCTAAAGGGGGCCAGGGATTATGAGCTGAATCCCCCCCAGATTTCGACCCGTGCAGCTGCAGAGATAGGCATTGAGTCAGGGCAGAGAACTGAAAGTCAAACTTGTGTTTGAAGAGGGAAAGGTGTCCCCATTTGTAATGGGATGTTCACTGTCATGTTGTATATGTATTGCATTAAAAAAAAAAGGTGTTTTGTGAACACTGGTCTGTGAAGTCATGGGCGAGTTTCTGGTTTGAAGGTGCACCATGGATTTTGCCAAGTCAATGACAAAACCTTGATCCTGTGACAGCAGTTTAAATGTCTTTAAGATATAGTATAGGTTTATTTCTTTGTTTTAGAAAGCGCATCTCAAGATGAGAGTTCTGTTGAGTTAAATTCAAAGCAGTCTGTTCCTCAGATAAAATAGTGTTAACATTTTTTTTTTAATGTTTATGTTCTGTGCCTTGAGATTACTTCTGTTGTGACTTGCTGCTATATAAATGGACTGTACTTATAGCACCTTTCTAGCTTATCAAGACACTCAAAGTGCTTTACATTACAATCTGTGCCCTCATTTACCCATTCATTCAGCACTCTCCTAGATCTATACAAAGAATAATCAGTGCTTTATCACATTCATCCACCAATGGGACACACATTAATCGACTTTATCGCTTCTTCGTGTCTCACTTTCTACTGAAGACTCTGGACGACAAAGGATCAACTCCAGTGCTCTTCACTGACCCCTCCCTTTCTCCATCCATTCCATCCATTATCTTTTACCTGCTTCTTCCATTTTGGGTCACAGGGGTTGCCAGTGCCTATGTCCAGCAATCACTGTGCGAGGTGCAGGGTACACCCTGGACGTGTCGCAAGTCCATCACAGGGCCTTATAGAGAAAACGAGACAAACAACCATTCACTCTCACTCACACCTAGGGACAATTTAGAGTCACCAATCAGCCTAACATGCATGTTTTTGGTCTGTGGGAGGAAACGGGAGTACCCAGAGAAAACTCATGTGTGCATGGAGAGAACATGCAAACTCACCCAGAAAGGTCCCCGCACCGGGAGTTGAACCAGGAACCTACTCGCTGAGAGGAAGCAGCTCTACCAGTTGCGCCACTGTGCGGCCTCCCTTTCTCTTTTCTCTTTAAAACCCATTTTAACCATCCAAAATCATGTTTTTGAATCGTTAAAAGCAGCTAAGCTGAGAAGCTAAGCTACGAGCTAAGCTAACAGGCCGACCTCGGGAAAAAACCTCCATCTTGTCGAAGCTCCAAAATTCATGGTTGAAACCCAGGTCTTTGTGTAAAAAGTAGTTTTTCTCTGCAAAAAGAAGCTGAGAACTTGTTTACTGATTTTTTTTTTATTAAAAGCTTTGTGTGAAAAATGATATGCTAAAGAGCTCAAACCACATTGAGCGTCCGCCATTTTGAGAACTTAAAAACAGGAACGAGAGACAGCCCATGTCACGTCAAGGGGCCTCCCTCCCATTTTCTTAAAGAGACACGCTGCTCGCTCCCTCACTATCTATCCTTCAGTTCAAACAGTCTTATACTGCCATTCAGTGGTCAAAAGAGGTACTACACACAAAAAATAACAAACATTTCTTCTTAAATTTGACGTTACTAATTATTGTCAATTTTCAAACAATATTATCGTTTATCGTAATAATTTCTGAGACAAAATTTGTTATTGTGACAGGCCTAGTTCAGATCAACTCTGAGACACAGAGAAAACATCACTGGAACTCTGAAAGTGCATTTACTTTTTTCTGCAGGTAGCAAACCAAGTCAACTTTTATTATAAACCACTAGGACATTCAAACTTAAGGATGTCCTAATGCTGTTCGTAGGCTGGGTGCTTTAGTCCAGAGCTAGGAAGGTCGTCTTCCAGTTGGAGGATTGGAGGTTTGATCCTCAGCTCTTGTATCATGTTGAAGTGCTTTTTAAGAGCCTGAATCCCTCACTGTCCCTGATATGTAGATTGGTTTATCAGTGAAATATTAAATATTATTACATACATAGAATATAAAATATATTTTTAGGAGAAAAAAGCATTGTCTGTGTGGATGAGATGCATTATAAAGCTCTTTGCAGGACCTGGAGAGTTAGGTGCAATACAAGCATGGATCCTTTATATAGAATTTCTGCAGAACCCCTAAAGTGTTACTCTTCTCACATAGAAAATAAATTAATTTTCAATAGATAAATGTAATTAATATTGACAAGGCTACAGTTGAGGTGTTAAGTAAACATAACCAGTATATCTGCTTATGAATAGGTTTTTCTCTCTAAGATGTCTTAAAAATCAATTAAAATGTCTTAAACCCCATGATAGCATGCTGATGCA